ATTGCTTTAAAATTGTGTGTATAATACATACGATATTACTTTAATTATATCTATTGCATGCAGTTATTATTTATTAAACGTACATTCGAAGACGTCAATATTACTGCCATATTTTCCATATTTGAAATCCAGTGAAAAAAATGAAAAATAAAATAGTCGTAGTTTCCAATTTGTTTAATTTCTCAAACGTTTAAATCGTCTATTCATATTTTAAAACTCACATTTGATCCTTCTTTAGTTAGAAGAGTTGGAATGTATGTTTCTGAAAATGCATAATGGGAATACATCAGCTGATATTGACATAACTAAATGTTTGTATTCAGGCCACCAAGGAAATTGAAGAAGGATGGAATGGTATCTATCTTATATTCTGAAATTGCAGTGTTCCTATAGTTCTATAGTTCAGCACTATTTAATTTGAACAATTTTTATAAAATGATTGCGTACTGCAGTGCATTATTATTTGCATTGCGCCGCTTCTAAGTCCTTTAATTTTATTTGAAGGGGGTGTGTGGCATGGCTAAAAACAAATAAATAAATGCTTTTGTCAATATTAATGCAACTTTATTAATATACATAAAAAAAATTGTATGTATCAGTCGATTTGTACCCCGTATATATATTTAATGTCCTTAAGCCATTAGTACGTGTTGTATATAAGGTATAAGGTTTTGTTGTGGCATATTTCCCGTTGTCAATATAATTATTTTGGTTGCGTGGTATCCATCCAGTACAGTTATTTCTCCTATTTTAACGTGTCTTCTGGCGGAATTTTTAATGATCATTTTATTTGTAGGATTTTTATTGGTCAATTTGTGGTGCATGAACTAGTTTTCATGTCATCAGCGTTATTATTGTCAATATAAGCAATATAAGGACGTGTTTACAATTAGCCCTTCCGTTCTATGTATTATAGTTGATCTAGTCTAACTTACATGACAAAATTATGGTCAGGTGGAGTTTTAATGGATAGCATGGACAGTATTTCGTTATTGGCCATTTCCGGTTGCATTTTAGTGAATTTGGGACGTTACCTTTTATTCTAACCGAAGTATAAATTGAATTGTATGCACTTGTTCATAACATTTCTAATAAATATAGCCTTATGAAAGCACAATATATTAGTAATATCAGAAACGTCGTTGATAACAGAAGTAGCTTTCTTCTAACAATACATGTGATTTCTAGTAAAACTAGTTTTAAATATAAGTGATTAAATAATTTTTTTATTTTGTTTTGAAGAAGAAGAAGAAACAGTATTTAAATAAATTACTTAAAGTTTTTATTGTTTTGCATAATTATTAAAAGTGGTTAAAATTGAAACGCGTTTTTAATATTTTGTGTTAATAAAAAGATAATAAAACCTGTACCTGTAAGGTAAAAATTTAACAAGTTTTAAAATTATATTTCATATCATACTCGTAAAATTATTTTTATTTAAATGACCTAAAACAATAACTATACAAATTAAATAACAAATGTTTAAACCTTGATATTTATTTGATCTCTTCAATGCTGCCAAATAATGCAAATTCCATACGACGAAAACTTCTACATTTCCAAAAAAAATTTCTTTTATTCTTTGTATGATTGCTTTTCAAAATAAGATAGATGAACCATAAAATAAATTTATATTTGAATAAGATCTAAATTTGTGTTAACAAAATAAATTTAAGTACTATTAAAATTAAATTCAACGCCGGCTAATAAAATAAATTTTTAACTACAAAATATAAAGAAGATAATTCTATTTAAACAAATAAGTTTGGATAAGTAATAATGAAGTTCTTCATAATAAATGTATTGAATTCGCATTAATTGTTATAAAATAGAATAAAAATTCAATGAATAGTTGTTTAATGTGTTTTGAAAAGTATAGAATTTACATAACACCTGAATTTGTCATAATTTATTTCAATATTTCTAATACTATATAAATTTTTATTATTAAATGAAATATATCTTTTTTTTCTTTCATAATAATTGCCTTTAAAAATTAAATTTTTTCTTTTTTTTATTACACTATACGAATTCCTATAATCATATGATTCAAAGTAATATATTTATCCTTATTTTTTAAACTAATCAATCCTTGTAATACTATATGGGTTTTAATAGTTATTGTATGTACCTTTGAAAAAGTATTGAATCTCCATTGTTCTCAAGTTTATCATAGTTTCTCTCAATATTTTAAATACTGTATAAGAATTTATAGAGCTAATTCAATTATTTCAAAAAAAAAAATAATCTTTCTTCATTATTCCAACCATTCATTATTCATTATTATTTATACTGCTATAAATATTTCAATAATTAATTCAAATATCTTGAAGAAAGTATCAATTATTGAAATACTTAATAATTTCAAAGAATTAACTTAAGTATCTTAAAAAAAATAGTATATCTAAAGTGAATCATTTTGTATTCAATAGCAAATATCTTGAAAAATAATACTTAAAGAATTTTAATGATTAATTAAATTATGTTAAACTTTATTCTGAAACTCAATACTAACCAGTTTATTATTATCTGTGTACATTTATAATACACAATCTCAATTCATGAAATAGCACTAATTTATATGACCAACGAAAACTCATATATCCTTATATGTTATTTAGGGATGTTTTTTTAAGGGATATTAAAATACTTTATCGTATTATAACTTTTTAATATATAAATCGCTTATACATATAATATAATTTTTAATATTGGTTTTAATTATTTCATTTATTCGACCACAAAAACAAATTTATTTCTTTATCGTAATTGTGGGTTTTAAAATTCTGTAATAAGTTAAATTTCAAGGGATTAATATATGACATTTATATCAGCTCAAGTACGATATTTTGTATAGTATTATTTGTAAAATGCAAAATGTGAGACGAACTACTTTTCATCCTACATGCTTCTGTAAAAAACAGTATTATAGAAATGTTGATGTACTCATACAAACGTCTGAAAGTATTTTCAATAATTAAAAAATAATATTTTTTTCATTTTTATTACAATGTACATAATATAAATAAAAACAATTGTAAAAAAAAGCATTGCGTATTTTGCATGTACTCACTCTCTCATGCTATTTATTTTTGAAATCTTAAAAATAAGTTCAGCGTAGGTTGATGAACAAAGCTGACAATAGTATATATAATAACCCACTTTAAATTTAATTTTGTACATATCATGTACGATAACTTCGCAATGGAAAAATGGTTAATTAAAATATGCTAAAAATTAAATATTGAAATATGTTATGTGAAGAAAATCTAAATTATAAATAAATTTTTTATATAAGAAAAATTAGCATCTAAACTAAATATTTAAATCGAAAATTATAATTTACTTTCAATCAGTATTATATAAAATATATATTATGGAGTAATCAAATTTAAAATCCATATTTTTCAAAAGTGCAGTCTACGCTTATTATGCTTTATATATATGCTATACTAATAATAATATAACAATACAACTAGGTGGCTAGAACTGACACTCAGAACACGTAAGAACTTTTATGTATGTAGGGATAACACTTAAGGACCTGTTTAAAAAACCTAAAGTATGTTAATCCCGCTACGTAATATTTATTATACACTGCATAAGTGATTTTAATAAATATTTATGCATAACAAAATCGATTGTTCCTGTCGGTATGACATTATATACGTAGTTCGTATATAATGTTGTTGGACCAGCATTATACTTTTGTACTTTAGTAAAATTACTCAAAAACTGCCTAATCTCTTGTCATTCAACGAGTCTAGGACACGGTAATTTTATTAACCATTTCTTTACCTGATAATTAGATAATCCTTTTAATTAAAAAATGTTCATAAGCCAATAAAAGTGTCACGATGATATTGGATCACCACAAAATGTTTTATTCGCACTCATTCCATTATATCTTCCAAAGTTTTTTTTGTTCCAGGTGTGTTGTATTTATAGTTCTTGACAGATGACGTTCGTTTTTACCACATGTTCCATCTGGGCGAAATTCATTTCTCTATGGCACTATATAGGAGACGCCATATATTGGGGAGTTTTCTGTTACATGAATATATCATCTTTGAAATACTTGATAACGTGTTCGTCGAAATATTTTTTTTTATACTTTTTGCAATCAATACTATGGTAAAAGCTTACTTTTTCAAGAATCTTGGCCAGTTTCAGGATTTCCCTCTAAAGATTGTTTTTATGCTTTGCCATAGGTTTTATGTTTTTGATACTTCAACTTTTATATAGCAATACAATAGACCAATAAGGGCTAATTGGATAAAACATATTGCTAAGTGTGGATACTCAGTTTCGCAGAAAAAATTTTTAAATTAAATTACACAATTTCTGCTTTTCCATAAATAAATAAATTATAAACTTAATTTTTTTTAAACTATAATTTGAAATATATAAAAATTAGTTTTTATAAAGGAACTTATTTTTTTTTCTCTTTTATATAAAACAATATTTTCATATTGATGCTGCTTGATAGATATTTCATTAAGTTGCATTTTTGATAATTTAGTGGAATCAATTTGGTTTTAAGTTGCACTTACAAAACAGTGTACCGATGAAAATGATTTTGATTAATAATTGATTAATGCAAAAAATAAAACCAGGTTTTCATTTCGCCATAAAACATATTGTTAACTAACGAATATTGAATAATGCAATAGAATAATGCGATTCATATTTACACTTAAATCTAGCGCATTTGTTTTGTTACATTCTGCCCACCTTTCTTACATCAACACGTGCCAATACTCACTACTTTGAATCATAGCTGAATCATTCAAGCCTCTTCACAATAAGATTAATATATAAAACTCAAAATATTAATGAAAGTAATTGGATTGAAAACTCTCAGAAGCAAAATCCTACATGCTCATATGCATGTTCATATGTAATAGTTAAATAATTATGTTTTTAATTTTTATTATGTTATTATTTTATTTAAATACATTTATGTATTAAATTAATATTTTTTTTTTATTGTATTACAGAAAGAATGAAGATAAAACGAGAAATGAATGATGATGGTCCGCAATCGGAGAAGCGTAATAGACGCAATGACGATCAAGTCCGAATTTTAATTCCAAGCAATGTAAGTAATACGTTTGATATAATTAAAATCTTTATAAATATCTTTTATTTGCAATATTATTTTAGATTGCTGGAGCTATAATTGGCAAGGGTGGACAGCATATTCAAAAAATGCGAACACAGGTATTAATTGAGTTAGTTAGAAAGTAGTTAAAATAGGTTTTTTGTAATGTTCTCATACTCCTCAAAAATAATAAATATGTATATATATATATATATATGTATAATTTATATATATATATATATTTGTATAAATCTTTTTACACTTACAATTACTTTTATTCAGTTTTTACTTTTGAAGAACATTTCTTTAACGTATAGAAGAGTGAGGACTCGTCTTTAGAATATCAGAATAACGTAGTCTTGAGCTTAGTATAAATATAAATATAAAACATAATTTAAACCTAATTTATGATATTGACTACCAACTACTTCATATTTCTGGTTCTAATTTTACTAAAACATATACCACTTTCAATTATGTCAAATATTATAAAATACTTAACTAGAATTGAACTTTAATAGTTCAAATCTTAAATTATTACTAAATAAAGTGTAAATTATTTAAAATCTTTGCTTTATAATCTAAATCTTCTTCACTCTGTCCTCAGCTTACTTAATAAATAGGAGCTTTATTTACCAAATTAATAATAAATAATTTTTATCTATAGATATTTTATATATACCTTTTGCAATTAACCATTTAACTAAATGAAATATTTTTCTCTCTCTTATCTCGTCCCAAAATTTTATGCACTTGATAACCAACCAAATAAAATTTATATCGAAAACATTGCAAATCAATGTTATTGTGCCTGTATGATATACACCTGATTCAATAAACAAAACTCTGGTCTGGTATAAATATGATATGGTGATTGTTGCATCGTCACGCCCAACAAAAAATATCCATACGCCCGCCTGATTGACTGCTCGCCCAACAACTAAACTTGAACCGGCCTTGATTTGTACACCTGAACCATCACTATAAAACGCCCTAAATTGGATATATGAACTCGTAACAATCACAATCACAAACACATGATGTGCTTTCGTTCAATCGTACCCGCTGCTGAATTTACAAATATGTGAACCAACTACGTACCATAAATAAAATAATAAAAATTCCTAAACCACATCTGGGTCATATTTATATATAATTGACCAATATATATGTATATATGTATATATATATACATATGCATTGCTATTAAAAATGTGTTAAATATGCAATAACAACGATTATAATTGCCACCAACTCGACGAACCAACAAACCAAACAACTAAATTAAATCCACCAAAAATGCAGTATAAAGCCACTGTGTCTGTCGATGATTCCCAAGGCCCCGAACGGTAAAATACTACTTTTTCCTTACACTTAGTTTATCTTAAAGAAGCTCATTTAATTACCATTTAACTTTATTATTAGACTTACATAAATTTATGTTTAACTTTTTAGTTAGTTCTTTTTATAAATATATAAGAAAAATCTTGAACATATTTTGCATCCTAATTGTTATTATCCTACCCAGAGCAATCGCTGTATCCACTCAGAAATTCTACACTGTACAAATAAAAAGTAATATAAAAGTATTTAACATTTTGCGAATAAATTAAACTGTAGAGCAAACTTTGATAATTAAACTTCTAAAATTCTACAATAATTGAATATGCGAATTTTTTAAAATGAACAAAATATAAAATATTGATAGTGCTTTGCCTTTGCCATTAAGTCACTATACTATGTTTAAACTTAATCTTTAAAAATAGTTTCAATTTAAATTTTAAAAGTATATTTTTTTTGGATACATCACATTTTATATACTTTACTTTACCTAAATCTGTTTTAAGCTACTTACTACTTTACTTATTGTATTTTGTGGTTTACATATGATTATTACAATATTGTTTTGCTAATTATGAAGTTAATTCATAACAATTTTATCTTAAAGCTTTTTATATATTTATTTTAAGTCTGTGTACAAGATTTTCAGGATTTCTTAATTTTGGCATAAGAAAATACTGTAAAAAAAACAAACATAAATTTATCTTTGCTGTTATGAAGGACTTGCCCATATATTTATTAAGGCAGAGTTTTATGTAATTTTGTACAAACATCTTAAAAATTGTTCATTTTACCTTACAACAATTCATTTCGTGTTTTTAAAGTTTACTGCAAAAAGTTTGTCATCATCTTATTTGCTTGTGTGTAATGTAATTCCTTCTGCATCCATAACCTTTTCTTAGGGGGAAATGGTTTTTCCTCTGTGTTACTTAACTTGATTACTTTAACCAACGGCGATATTAGTTTCAAAACTCATATCATAGCAAATTAATATAATAACACATATAAAACACAAACTTTTGGAACATCATCTATGCATTCTATTATTACTTAAATGTGTAAATTAGTTAGTTCAGTGTTTAACAAACAATTGACATAAAAATAAAAATAAAAAACAAATAAGTACATTCAATTTTTAACATTTTATGGTTTAATAATTAAAAAAATTAACGTCTTTGTAGAATATACTCATGTGTAAATGTTTAAAAAAAAATACATTATACATACATAATAATAAATAGTTTATACAGTGCCTTTGCCCGTATTTATTGCCAATACCAATTTATAATAGTATTTAAAAATTAATTTTTAGTTTGGTGGCAACTTTTTTCACCATTACCAATCGGATTGTATGCAAAAACCTTAAGCAAAGTTTTAATTGTCATCTAAATTTAAGCATATACCAAACAAAAAAAAATATTTACATCATTATATTAATATTTGCACAAATTAATTATTTTAATCAATTAATTTATTATTAGTACCATTTTAATATCATCGGACTTGGATTCAACTTTACAAATTATTTCCGAAATGTTGAAATATTTTGAAGAGGTACGTAAATTCAAATTTTTAATTGTTAATTAAAACTGTTTTAATTGTTCACAAAATTGTTTATTTAATTAATTTACACATTATCTCTTTTATTTCTAAATAGCGAGATGATGAAGTTGATGTCAGAGTTCTTATTCATCAAAGTCTTGCTGGTTGTGTCATTGGCAAAGGTGGCCAAAAAATTAAGGAAATTCGCGATGTAAGTAATAGAATTGTAATTCTTTTTATGCAATTTTTAGTTTCAATATATCGGTTAAGAGTTGCAAACAACATTTAAACTACATTAAGACTGAAAAGAAGAATTTGTCGTTAATGCCAAAAAATATACACTAAGAATTGTAATTCTTCTTATGTCGTTTTTGAGCTTAAATCTTCTTGTTTATATTGTATTTGATAGCATTTAGAACATTCAATTTTTTAATTTAATATTAATCTTACCAGCTAAGACCAATGTCTTGTTGTTTATTTACATCACTTAATCGAAATATTAAAACTATTTTTTTTTTAATATCTATATTAAGATGTCATAATATTGTTTTTTAAATAAGCACAGCAGTTTTGGTGTACGAATAAAAATTAGTAAAATCACCATATATACTATTTTAACTTATTGAAATCGAAAATGAAATTAAAAATATCTTTTAAGTTTAGAAAAAAATTAGTATGTTTACATACATATATAACGTATTACTAATATAACGTAATTACGTATATAATTTAAATTATGTACATTATCTACAGTAGATAGTTAAATGTGAAGGAACTAAATAAATGATGTTATTTTTTAGTGAGGTGTCGAAATGTAATGAACTACAACAACAAACAATTTTTTTTATATTATATTTTAATTAATTAAATTTTTGGCTAACCATACAGTTGTTTCGAGTATTGCCAAATACTCATCAACACTGGTTTTAGAATTATTTCTTATATTTAATTTTTTAAAAATAATTTTTTTAAACTGCAAGTACCAAGAGTTGATTTCGTACCCTGCCAAATTTGAAGCTAAGAGTCAGCGTTCATTAGCCAAGTGATCTAAAGTCGCACTTAACTTATAAGTAGTTAAATTTCTGTTAATTTGCTATGAAAGTTTATTAACAAATTACTTGCTGTGTTGCGATATTATTAGATTTTTATATGACAATAAATTTTTGTAGGTTCTTTTATTTTATCTAATGTTTATTATATATTGAAGTTTAGAATTTTTTAATTCTATTCTACTTACAAACTTAATTATTTGTGAATTTTTTAAAATACTAAATGAATTTTTTCTTTATTTTAAATAATTATCATGTTATAAAAATGTGATTGATTTCTTTTCTGCTACAAATAAAAAAATTAAGTTTTATTTTGTGCATGTAATATGTGCACTTCCTATTGAAGAACACAAATAATTCAAATTCAGTCGCAAAATTGTGGTCAACTGTATGATAAAATTGTGAACTGTAAGCATAAATTTTGTAAAGCCTGGTGCTTGTTTCGTGCTCATGGCTAGTTCCTTACTTAATGATATTATGAATTTTGTCATTATTGCCACCCAGTTGTTTGTAACCTGTAACCTGTTACCTGTCAACTTCCAAACTGTCCGATAGAGTCTCTACAAGAATATGCATATGCCCTTTTTACCTTGCGGTATTTTCACATATCAAATGTGTCTGTTGATGACAGCCATCCATGCACAAGTGTGGATAAATGTAAAGTTGTTGTTTTTCGCCTAACGGATATGTGTACTGAGCATACGTTGTCTGTCGTCTATCTTTTGCATTTTTTTTTTATTTATTTGTTTTCACATACGTTATTTTATTATACGCATCGTTGAGCATTTATAATATCTGTTTTTATATATCACGCATATACCATATACCATTATATATTAGCGAGAAATATACATTGTTATGAAATAGGGAAGAATTTAATTAATAGGATATAAGTACATAAAATCACCGTGTGCTGTACGATAGTTGTTAGTGCTAATTGCGCAATGTTCTTATTGTACTTTAAAATTTAAAATTTTGTAATAATAGTTCACAGTTTCTGTCAATACTAAAATACTATTTACTAAAATCTATTCAATACTAAAATCTATTAAATCGCTAGATAGATTTTATGGAATAGCTTTTAATTTAATGCAGGATTGTGTTTTCCACTTATATTTTTGTTGTAATAGAACTGTTATTTTGTGTTGAAAAATGCATGCTGACAAAACTTATATTAACACGGAAAATGTGTGTCCTAAATAATCATTTCATGCTAAATTCTTCACGCCATATTTGTTATAATTACAAAAATGTCATTTCACAATAGTAAAAATAAAATTGTAATTTTTATTAGCAGTAGCTGCATGAAAACATGTTCCATTCATATAGATTATATTTTGAACATGTAAATTTTAATAAAATAATATATTTAACTGTGGTAGGGTGTTGAAAATTCATATAAACTTAAACTTACAATACAACTATAATACATCACTATAGTAAATACAGTCATTATCTACATATCCACAATTTTAATAAGAAATGTATTGGTTAAAACGCTGATATAATTATTTGTTTAAGTATATTTATTAGTTTATAGCACTATATGTTGACATTAATCATTTTAAATATAATGAGAGATTAATAATACTCAAGGGATAGAAATCTATTAATATTATTTATGTAGTCATTACATATTACATTTACATATTGGCTATATCAATAGTCAAAAACAATTATGTGAACATTAATAATTGATAAGCACCAACATGAGCTAGGAGTAATAAATTATGTTTAGAATAAGAATGAATGTTTTGGTGTATCAACAGATACATTTTGTAGCAGGTCACTTTTAATGTAGACTTAATTTTTATAATGCTAGACTTGCGTCTAGATATAGTGAACTCTTGAAAGGCCTGCGTTCGCACTATCACTATATCAAGGTTGATAACTATTTGTTCAAAAAATCATTTTAAAAAATGCTATACTCACGTCTAGATATAGTGAACTCTTGAAAGGCCTGCGTTCGCACTATCACTATATTAAGGTTGATATTTATTTGTTAAAAAAATCATTGTATATGCTTAAAATACACATATATATAATTAAATGCAAGAGATCATTAGAAAAAATTTTTAGATAAGAATCTATACATATATGTATGTTTATTGAAAGAGTTTACGAATAGTTTTCTTTTTGGGTACAGAAAATAACTATTGAACCACTTTTGCGTATAGTTTACTCAGTGCTCACATACGAGCACTATTAGACTAGATAACTAGATAATCAGTTGTATCCACGGCATTATTTTGCTGCTTTCAGCAGAAAATTGAACGCAAAATTCTGTTTGGAGTTGATTTCAAAATTTTGTTAACTATTTGGCGTATTCCATGTAAAAAATTAGGTGTTCACTATATCGCGCTGTCCGATATACCCAAACACGACTGTATATTTATAAAATTGATATGAAAATAGTTAATATTATGTATTTCAGTAATCACACGTATCTATATTTATATTCGATAACTCTTTACATGGTATTTAAGTTCAAGAAATACTCATAATATAAGACATGGTCACATTATCTTGCACATAATAACATATGTAGCCAAGTTTCCTTTTTATTCATTTTTATTGTAAAGAAAACTTCATAAACAAAATTCTTCAGCTTTTATAGAAATAGTGAAAATATTGTAAATATTGAGAAATAACTATTTTGCTGCTTTTTATGCCATCGTAACTCCAACACACGCTATATGTTGAAAGTATTATGTATCTTTATATAAATATACCTGATTAAGTAGCACTCCATTGTGCTTGATTTGGTTGCAAGTAATTGATTTAAATCATACATATAAAAAAAAAATTGCAATGTGTGCACATTTATTTTCTGAAATTTATTTGAACTGTGTAACTGTGTAACTGTGATGTAACAAAGCAGAAAAAATTGTTATTGAAGTGCGTCTGTTGCACTCAGGCATATGTAATGCTTTGTAGAAGCACTACAAAGGTTTATGGTATATGTTACATAAATGCATGTAAGTGTTTAATTTGATTATATATTTATTCCAATCATATTTACTGTAGCTGAAGGACTTTCATATCACAAATAAAATGTATAAACTTAACAAACTTAAAAAAAATTAAGTTTCTCAATTTTTCTTTTGTTTTTTGTTTGTTTAATATTAATGCAAATTTTAATTAATACTTTTACATAAAAATGAAATTGGATTGTAGTTAATCTGATGCTAAAAAATAATTTTTTTTCCAGTTACTATAAGTAAAGTTTATATTCAATGCAATCATAACACAACCGCTGATTTTAAAATATATAAAAAAAAATGTTTTTATAAATAACTAGGATTATTGTTTCAATGATTCACATATTGTATATAGATTTTTAAAATTGGAACTTGAACTCATACGTAGTTTCGTTTTTAAATATACCAAGTGACTCTGGTTCGCAGTGTCGTACCCAGGGTTGGAGGTTTTACTAGAAAATGTGCATTATTTGTAGGTTAATATATCTACAAGATCCATCCTTGAGATAGATCGAGAAGTGATCTATCTCGTA